TAAGCGTCTGCCTTCGACTCAGGTCATGATCCCAGGGTCCTGGGATCGAGCCCCGCATCGGGCTCCCTGCTCTGCGGGAAGCCTGCTTCTCCCTCTCCTACTCCCCCTGCTTGTGTTTCCTCTCTTACTGTGTCTTTCTCTGTCAAATAAATAAATAAAATCTTTAAAAAATAAATAAATAAAATGAGGGTCATAGCCTATGGCATACCTCACATTCATTAGTTGATTAAATTTATATTGGGCAATGATTGCCTTCCATACATTGCCAAGTACTGGTTATACAATAGTAAACAGGGGCACCTGGGTGGCTCAGTTGGTTAAGCGACTGCCTTCGGCTCAGGTCATGATCCTGGAGTCCCAGGATCGAGTCCCACATTGGGCTCCCTGCTCAACGGGGAGTCTGCTTCTCCCTCTGACCCTCCCCCCTCTCATGCTCTCTCTCTATCTCATTCTCTCTCAAATAAAAAAATAAAATCTTAAAACAAAACAAAACAAAACAAAAAAACAATAGTAAACAAACATTCCCTGCTTCCAGCCAAAGAATAATACAGGCATTCAAAGCAAAACAAAACAAATACATGAATATAAAACTATAACTATAATGAGCACTACGAAGACCTCTCGTATGACAAGCATATATTTTAGGGAGTTTTTGTTTGTATTCTACACTTAGGTTAGGAATGGCTTCTTTGAGGAAATATTTCTTGAGTTCGTATTTAAAAGATGAATAGGAATTAACTGGCTGAAGAGAGGAAGGACAATCTAAAAAGAGGAACTAACACATGCAAAAGCCCTGTGGCAGAAAGAACACGGTGAGCAGAAAGGGGCTGGAAGAGGATCGGAAGACAGTCAGTGTAGATGCAGCAGAGAGAATGGTAGGAAGGGCATGTGGTGAAGTAAGGTTGGAGAATGCAGGTCATGCTAAGCTGTATTTGTGCATCGTAAAAATAGTGAGAAGCCATTGAAAAGTTTTAAGCAGAAGGGGTAACATGGTTCAGTTTGTGTTTTGAAAAGATGCATCTGGCTGTAATGTGGGTAAGAGATTGGATTGGGGCCATGATGGCTTATGGTCAGAGCACTTGGGAGACTACATGGTTGTCTGAGCAAAAGGTAATGGTAATGTGGTGACCAGAATGTCTGGAGTTAGGAGTAGCCAGTGAACATATATTTAGGAAGCAGATAACATGATGGGGAACTGTATGTGGAGGCAGGGACGTACAGATGAAATCTTACCTCTTCAGTTTTGACTTGTGTATCTGGATGGAAGGGTTGCCATTTGTTTGCAAGCGGAACTTTGGAAAAAGACTGGGTTTTATGAGGAAAATCATTAATTTGGCTATGAACATGTTGCATTTTGAGATGCCTTTTAGACAACCAAGAGATTTCATGAGAGAAATTGGATCTTCCTGGAAAAATCTGGACTGGAGATAGAGTTTATACATCTAGGTGTAAATTTCTGCAGATGAGCCACAGAGCAAAAAGGGAAATCAGGAACGTTTTAGGTCCCAAAAACCACAGAAGGAGAGTGGTTTACAGTTTAGAATGCTTCTGAGAGGGTAGGTGAGGTGAGGACTTTTAAAAAGTTCATTGAATTTAGTGGCCTGAAGGCACTAAATTGTAACCTGTGTTTCCATAGAATAATGGAGGAGGAAAGGAAATTGGAGTGGATAGTGGAATGAGTTAAAGGTGCAAAAAGGAGACAGCTGGTGTAGGTGAGTGCTTTGGGTTTTCTAGCAGGGAAGGGGAGGGGAGAGGGGAGTGGGAGAATGAGATTTGCTTTGTATTAAGGGGAAAGGCACAAGCACAAAGTGGGAGAACCTTGCGGACCCTGGTGCAGTAGCACCTGATTTCGTCCTTAATAGTACGTACAATAGAAGCTACAGGTTTGGGAGAGACCTGATCTCTTATGTTAACACATAAATAGCTTTTCATATAAGCAGCGGTGTTTGTATTATTCTCAGAGAATCATCAAAAAAATCTGTACATTCATTTGTTTGTTTTCATCCATCTTTTTAAAAGTCCCATCAGCAGTGTCACTGTTCCAGCCAGCATCACTACCCAGGCTCAATTCCTAGAGCAGCAAGGGTACTGTCCTTTTGGCTTTTGCCCTGTTGCATTTTGATGCTATGGGTCATGTTTTTCCCTAAAGAAAAAAGTTTAAGGCTCCTTATTTATTATTCACCAGGGTCCCTTTTCATGCAGTTTACATGGGGGAAAATCAAACCTTAGGGCAATTTGCTTTTGAAAGTGAAATGCCCTGGTCCTCATTACCAGCTCTTTTACTTATCTGTACTACACAAGTGCCTGGGGAGGCTTTGTTTTTCTCCCAAAATCTTTGCTTTTTTCAAAGGTTTAGAAAACCCTTAAGAAATTACATTTGTACTGCACAAAGGCCAATCCCAGGAAAGAGGCTTGGGTGCCCATTAACACCTGGGGTGCCTCCCTTACACCTGGCTACAATTGTAGCTTGCACGCCTCATTCATTCTCTGCTTCCTCCCTGACCTCTGACTGCAGAGACCAATTCAGGGCATCCTGAGCTTTGTGTTCTTTATTTTCAAGTCCAAACAAGGGCTCCGGCCGATGTGTACCCATACGGCACCCAGAAGATCACAGCTCTCATTGTCTGGGGAGTTGCCAAGGCTGTCCTCTGAGCCCCCGTCACTGCTGTTACTACTCTGCAGCAGGCTTAGCAATGCTTGCATTTTTGCCCCTTTTGTCCCAAGTCTCAGAAGGCGCCAATTTTACTGAAGTGTAATTTTGTACCCTGGGTTGAAAGAAATGACCACTAAGTGTTTCTGATTGTCCAATTTATTTTTAAGAGGCGCAAATCTATCTAAAAGCAACCTAATAGTTGTATTTATTTTTACACTGTGAAGTAGGAGTCTTACATCATTGCTGAATTGTTTAAAATTCAAAAGCTTGCCCCAGCATGTCGTAGCAATGTGAATGAATATTGGGCTGACAGCATGTGTGATCTCTATTGATTGTCTCAAGGCAGTGTTGGTCCAGAGTGTGCTATTTATTTTTGTTTTCTGATTGCAAAAGGATGGCAATAGGAACTCTTTATTCATTGCCAAAAATGTGGAAAATAATGAAAAATGTAAAGAAAAAAAAGTTCATAATTTCTAGAAATCCATTAACAAGGAATTTCTTTTCTATATTAGTCATTAAACATAAATATCTTTTATTTATAAAATCAGGATTATAATGTACCTATAGCTTTGTTATTTTGCTTTTTTTTTTACTCAGTCCTACAATATGTTTTTCCCCTATTAAAAATCATTAAAAATCAAATTTTACATAAAGTATTCTTTGCTTGACTGGACCATGATCTGTTTTATTCTGTTGCAGTGGGAAGAGGAAAGGAACTTTGGTGCATCCCTATTACTCCCAGGCCTAAAGCAAAAGAACTCAGTGGGGTTAAGTTCCCAGTTGTATGGCTATGCACTTCTTGGTAAGCTAAGTGATCCTTACAAATATTGTTCTTCATGGATAGAACTGATGCATTCTTCTACTTTGTAATAAATTTTTAATTTGATTTCAGTGTACCAGTGAAATTCCAATATAGCTTTCATTTTTAAACATAAAAATAGACATTGATAGCCTTACAGTTATGGGATAATACCTTAAGAGACAGTAAAGAGGGTTCTAAAGCCTGTTACCACTGGAAAGGTGAAAACTAGTTCTGGTAGCTTTGGATTATATTTAGTGGGAATCAGTGTGAGGAAGGGATAAAGAAAGGAAAGTTCTGGCCCTCTTCTGGGAGAACCAGCCAGTAAAAATTTTCCCAGTACTAACAAAGATCTTTGTGTCTCTTTTAGACCTTAAGTCCAGGAGGTAAGAAATTAAGAGTTAGGGTTGAACTAATATCCTTGATAATGTTTTCAGGTGAGCAAAGGGACACTCAGAGAGTACATCTAGTAGCACTGTGGGAAAGCAGAGAGACTCATTGGTACAACAAGTGACTGTTCCATGCTGGGGGATGGTTGCTTTACTTTGATGCCCTGGTTGCATTGAAAGTCAAGAGGACAAAGCCTTGGAACCTGGGTTGTGTGGAATCAGGGCAAATAGCATCCAACCTAAGGATGCATAAAATGTGTCCTGATTTACAGACATCTATTAAATACATTATTATTTCATTGTTCTTCCATTCTCTCTCTCAAGTAGGCAGGCATTTCAGAAGGCACCTTCTCTTGACCATACACTGCTTTGACTTACCTTCGTTTTATGAAAATCATCAAATTTTGATGATCTTCACCAACAAAATGTGGTGTGGCCTTCTTAGATGCTGATTCTGATAGAGACTGATGGAGCGGAATTTCAGAGTTCACCAGCTGGCTTTCAGACTAGCAAAAGAATTGACCACTCCTTTTAAAAATCACTTTCTCCTGATACGCCATCTACTTTCTTGCTGTTGGCTTACGTGTTTTGCTTTTGCCTTCAGGTGAGCATTCCGGACTATCAGGCTGCATGAGTTGTTGAGGGAGTTGTCAGGGCTAAGAAAATGTGCATTGTTGCTGCTGTTCTGCGCAGAGGCCCTGGTGCTTTGGGACAGGCAGCCGTCAGATCAAAAGCTCTTTGCTCCCACCCTGTCGTGTGCTGTGCAGCCTCACTCAACCCCAGGGGAAGCAGCTTCCCCGAATGTGACTGCAGTCTAGCCCCAGGCGTCTTAAAAGTCTAAAATTAGCTGTCACCTGATAAGCTTTGTCTATTTATGTCCTACTACAGCCTTCCCAAATCCTCCTTCCCAGGAAAGATAAGTGAAGGCAGCTTGAAGACCTGGCCGCTCAAGGTGACTTTGGTCGTTAGTGCAGAGAGGGCTTCTGTTCCACAGGAACACGGAGACAGCCCCTTGGCCCACCTGAGGACCCTGCTGTCTAGTGTCCACATCTTGAGCTCCAGTTGTGGTGGTTTGAGGTACAAAGAAAAACATTCATGTCCGAAGATCTGAAGAGGATGATGAAGACTTTATGATTTAAGTGCTGATGAAGCTCAAATAAAGGAAAGAAGAATAAAATGAGATCTTTTTTTTTTTTTTCATAAGGACAGTCGATGGGGTGTTTTGGAGCATTTTGAAAAATGTCAAACATTTGCTGGCAAGGGAAAGTTGTCATATGTTGACAAGATTTCCACTGTAGGAGAATTGTGGGATTTCTTTTTCTGAGGAAGATTTTGTTCTTGAAACAAAAATAGTATTTCAGTTGTTTGACTCGTTTTATAAGGGTAGTTCCACTTAAAGAGACAGATATATCAACCTCTCTAAATTTCCCTCAGCTCTATGATTCATACATCCTCCTGATAATTTCCACCAGCGCAAATGAAAAAGAAGAAAAGCATATTTGTACAACTTTGTATTAAAAAACAGATTCAGTGAATTTCACCACATTCTTCATCATCCATCTGAAATGGCACCAGGTCGCTGGACAGGATGAGGCTCTCGGTGCAGATTTGAAATTATTTTCCAGGTTCATAATTGATTTGTGCTTTCAAGTCCTCTGTCTCCACCACAGTGGGAAGCCACAGCTGAAGCTTCTTCATTGTTCTTTTTGGCTACAGGGAAGGTGGAGCTGCAGCGAGGGCTGCGGGCTGTGTACCATAATATGCCTCTGCTGTGGCAACCTGGCTACCTTGACCGAGCCCTTCAAGTGATGGAGAAGGTGGCCTCATCCCCGGACGATGGGAAGCTGTGTGCAGAAGCGGTACGTCTCTCGGCCCTAAGTCCATGCGCTTTAGCCATCTCCTGTTCCTTGCGAGCTAGCCTGTGAATTTGTTTGCATTGTCTTCCCCTCCCCCTACTCTCTTTACTTCTGTAGAATCGTGTACTCACCCAGTTGAAAAGGAATGAAAATCCACACACATTCTCCATGTTACAAAAAGTATTAGAGAAGAAGATGAACGTTGATTCTATAGCTCACTGTCTGGGAGGAAAACTGTCCCTCTCCCCTGAAATTGAAACTGAGTTCAATAAAATACTGCCCACTCCCCCAGTAAAATCTCAGTGGGAGCTCAAAAGTTAATATTTCATTTTTAATTTTTGGCATTTCTGTCCCCTTGTAGTCCTGGGAGAGTACATGGCAATTATATTCACCCATAGAAGCCTTTAAGAAACGAATCTGGGGACTAGAGATGGACTAGAGTCTTGTTTTGCCTCCATTTACCATTCTGTGGTGAATGCTCAGTGCTGGAGAAATGTGGATCAGATGTTCCTTTCAGAGTTCTGAGGGGTTCATTTTGCCTGGACTAGGCAGCTGTCTTCCCACCAGCCCCAGTGTGCATCTCTCAGTCACCTAGGACTCTTGACGCTATGAAGCCACTAGACTTAGCTCAGGCTACAGGAAATGTAGCATCTTAGAGCCACATGAAAGCCTTAGCCTTACAGGCAGCCAGTGTCCACTCCTATCCAAGCAGCTTATGTCATAAGAGGGAGGCCTAGATGGATGTTGGTTGTTGCAGTACCAGGATGTAAAAGTTAATTTTGAGCTCATTCTTGGTTTTGCCTTGACCCCAATCACTAGGACTCAGTCCTTGGCTTCATTTTAGTCATGAGATGTGCATGTCTGGTGTTTATACTGACCAGATACTAATGTCTGGTGAATCATCATGTTCTTTGGCAGACGTTGATAACAGAACATACACATTCCTAAACATATATTCATATTTAACCCTGCTATAGTCAGTGCTAGTGATCAAAAACACAATATTATATGTAAGTCCTTTGCCAGGGAAATATTCTTCCAATCTGAGCCAGATTTGCATTCTCTGTCTTAACAGGAAGGTGATTCAGATGTCAGCAAGAACGGAATATATCTTGGGTTTGGGTATAAGGTATTAATGGTATTAAAGGGCCTTAGTATTTTCTGGAATTTTGTTCTAAGGCGACGTGGTCAGAATTAATTGGTACGCAAGGAGGTGCTAGTGCTGGCCTTGAGGTTGTAGAATCTCTGATGATTAGGCCCTCAGGGGGTCAGGGGAAGGTGTGCCCCGAAGTGAATGTGGTGCACAAGAGAGGCCAAAACCAAAAGAAAGCCTGTTTTACAATTTACTTACTTTGCAAGTCACAGAAATCACCTTAATACAGTTCATTTCACGTCTGCCTGTCGAGTCTCTGTCAGCAGCTTATGTGGGTTGTGCGGCTCCCTAATTTATAGATGAATAAAGGCTAGGCTTTTCTAAGGCTCTCCCACGCATTCAGAATGGCCCTCTGTTGGTTGTGCTGTGCGGTGGTTTTTCTCTCCTTCTCCCAATTCCAAACCGGTTGAGGAAGACGACACGGAAGAGGGAATACTTTGAGTCCCCATCGAACATGATTTTTGGATCCCTCCCTGGTTGACTAAAGGTGAAATCAGACGCCGCGGTGCTGATCCGTACACAAATAATTCTGAGCTTGCATATTTGTCCCATGTGTTTTGTGCTAGGTCGTCCCTGCCATCCGACGGGGAATTTCTGATGTAAAATCAGATAACCACGTCTCTCTCTGGTGATTTTATAAGAGAAAGAGTTCCTGAGTGTGCAGATCCCAGCTGTTCCTTCCTTCTTTCCCTGGCCCAGCCTCTCTGCGTGGTGTGTTTTCAGGGCCCCGGGATGGTTAGTCCCTGCCTCTCTCTGCTCCACAGCTGGCTGTGCTGGACGGCACACTGCAGGCGCTGACTGCTCCGGCCTCCGGAGCTTCGGAGGAACGGCCCCAGGAAGGGCAAGCCAGCCGGGGCTCCGAAGAGCTGCTGGAGCAGCTGGACATGGAGGAGACAGAACAGTCCAAGCTCCCCCAGTACCTGGAACGATTTAAGGTGCGTTGTAGCAGAACGGAGTCCCTCTCCGCCGGGCATTAAACATGCTTCTCGGCTGTGGTGACAGACAGGCAGGCCTTTCATGCATCACTGTCACACACAGAGGCATGAAAAACTGACATCACAAATGAGGCTTCAAACAGGAAGCGGTCTTAAAAGAAACAAATGAATTTTTATGCTCCTTTTTGTGCGTGAGCTAATCGGTCCCAGTTTTGTTCAACTGGGGCAGCGTGTCATTACTCGCACTCATCCCTGATGTGTCTGATGGGTGGGTACTAGCTTGCCGCCTCAGAACGGTCGCCTGACTCCAACCCCAGGTGGAAAGGGTCTGGTCATTTCTCATATTGCACTCATGTGCTTGATAACCCAGAACCCCAAGTGGAAATTAGAAAGCCACATTTGAGTATGATGGAGATCAGCTGCAGGCATCTTCTGTTGCTCGGCTTTGAGTTGTGCACTCGGGCCCTCCGAATACGTTTTTGGACTACATGGAAGATGTAAACAAGTTTCTTTTCCAAACAGTCCCGAGCGCTCAACCTGCCTTTGGTAGCTTTACAGCTGCATGGCCCAAAATATTCTGTGATCTGCGTCCGGGAAGAAGAGCTGTGTTACAGGTTAACCCCTCGGCCTCTGCTTTGCTTTGTTTCTTGTCTATGTAGTGCAAAGAGAAAAATGTGCTGCCTAAAGAATTCTTTGTATAAAGCAGGAAACCTTCCTATCCATGCCAGCTGACCTAGTGTGTCATTTTGGGGCAGAGAGGTGTCATTTTGCCTGATGATGACATGTAGCTCTGTTCAGTAATGCTATGGAACCAGCTATGAAATACCGTGTCCCCATGTTATAAGGACTCCTCTGTACTTGCAGCTGCTGTTCCTCCTGCTAATTCTGAAAAGTCATTCTTCAAGGTCCCTCGTTTAGAATTTGAAAACTGAGAAAGAAGGGTTGATGGATATTAGGTACACAGAGAATTGGCAGCTAAGTTAAGAACTTACATTCCTACCTGTTCCTCTTAACTTTGCAGATTAGGAAAGGCTGAAAAACAAACAAAAAATGCTGCTGTAACACTCCTAAAAGTGACTACTTCTTCCACTTGTTTCTTACATGTTTAATCTCAGAGAATAGAAATCTGTGCTGCATTAAATCCTCAGTCCTCATTCTTTTACACATGCATTGTTTTGAAAATCGAAAAAGACCTATTTATTGGCTGCTGGCTGCATATTAGGCATCAGTGCATTTCATTCATCTTCACTGTGGCTCTGCATGGTGGATGCTGCTTTTCCTATGTTACATGACAACAGGCTGAGAGGAACTGGCCCGTGACTGACTGACTGGGGATTTGAACAAAAGTTTGCTGACTCAGATTCGAGTCCTTATCCTGGTGTCCCAAGCTGTCTCCTTGGCCCCAACCCACATAGAAAGTGATATCAGAAAGAAAGAATTCTCCTTGCACATTTCTTTTTCTTCCTGTGGCCTGATTTTTATTAGTCTCAGGTAATTTGGTTGGGGTCCATTTCTACAGGACTGACCCTCACACGAGGCCTCTAGCCACTCCTCAATGCATGGATCCTGCCCACCTTCCACCCCACTACTGGAACAGGCCTCATCACCTATGCCAGGGAATTGCATTTGTTTTGGGGACATGGGGATGTGCGGCATAAGCTACAGCTAGGCCGTAAGTGGCTCTCTCTTGATGATCTACATCTTGAAGCACTTAAGGAGATTAGTGTTTTTAGTACTTGACTTCTCCAGGAATACAATACCGCCCAAACCAAGATGCCATTTCAGATGGAGCCATAAGCAGTCGGTTTGCAAAGGCGGACCTGCAGTGGAGCTCAGCAGGTGGAAGCTTATAATAGTGCGAGCACTCATGGGAGCTGTTTAGCATGCCATTAGTAGAAAATTCTTGAAATGATTTCCATCTGTTGAAAGAAACCCTGGGTAGGCAAACATTCATCTCAGTCATTCTGAAGGAATGGAGGTGGATGGGCTTGCTCCCGTTTATCAGCTGCTTCTGCCATTTTGTGTGCGTCTTAGAGTGCCTTGCTCTGAGAGTTCGCTGCTTGCTTTGGTGCAGGTCAGAGCAGAAATGTAGGTTTGTTAGACTTGCGCTGTCTTTGTGGATTAAAACAAGAAAGTACATAGGGAATCTCAGCATATGGACTTCCATTTACTGTTCGTGAGTGAAGGGAGAGAAGTCACATTTGGTGCATCTTAGCAAAATTGCTGGACTGAAAAAAAAGGGGGGCAGACACTCGTAGTGTCTAGATGAAAGGCAGCATGACAGGTTCCCAGCAAAGTGCCTTTTCCTGCAAGCAGAATGTGTGGAGGTTTTGCAAGTGACTTAATCTCCTTTCCTCTTTGTCTTCTCCCATCTGCACCCTCCTCCCCACCCCCCATCTCCTCTATTTTTCCTTTGTTTCCAACAGGACTTGCACTCCAAGCTTGAGGCCCTGGGCAGAGTTGAATCAGAAAGCCTTTTGACTCTGACCGCCCAACTTATGCAGGAACAGCTCCCCACCTGCGAAGCCCAGGACATGGCAGCCTACGAGCAGAAGCTGCAGCACTGGCACCTGGAGCAGGCGCACTTGATTCAGAGGGAACGGGAGCAGAGGGAGAGGGCAAAGCAGGAGCACGAGGCCCGGAGAGCAGCAAAGGCGTCTGCCTAGCAGGCCCACAGCGCCCCAGCCCCCACCACAAGCTTCCCTAGCCCCATCCTGGGACTCACAGTGACCGTGGGGGCAGCCTCAGCCTCCTCCCTCTGGCCTCTCCTTTGCCTAAAGCAGGCTGTCTGCGGGATCAGAGCAACGGTGGTCAATGTAGTAAGGCACTGTGACTTCCCATCACCTGCCGAGAACGGCTGCAGAACTGTGAATGGCAAGTGGTCAGACTGAAGCCCCAGCTAAGCACCTTAAATAAGGTGCTCTCGAGGCTTATGGTGGGGTTTCTGGGGTCAGGGATCAGTGTTGAACATTGAAAATTCCTAATCCATAGCGGTGGTGGAGGGAGAGGCCGTGTCGAGCACAGGCTTTTAAATGGTCTCTGTCTCCTCGGTGGCAAACTGTGTACCCTGAGCCTCATCCCGCTCTGTGTCCTCCCTGCCTGAGCTGGGTGTGGGATGCCCACACGTCTCAGCTTCTCCTTCCCCCGTGTCTCTTCCCTGCAGACCGGAACTTGGGAGAAATTGAGGACAGGAGTGAACACAGCACCATGAACCCACTGGCTTTCAAATTTCAGGCACCCACGGTGACATTTTTAGAATGGAAGGGCTTCTGAGGAGAAAGCTAGCTCTAGCTCTGAAGCCACGGCTTGGGTTCTCCATCATGTTGGGGTAACTTCTTTCCAAAACATTCTCAGCTCCTTCCTCAAGGAGGTAAAGTGAGCCTTTTGTGTCCACACGTACAGCTTGTCAACACACATTTCAGTTGGAGAAGTAGGAGAGAACAAGAGGCAGGATGGGGCTTGTAGTACATAGGAGACATGTGTAACTGTGCAACCGTCAGGGGGTGGAAATTCCTTCCTGAAGCTTCTCTGTGAAAGGGTCCAGGGGCAGCTCCTGCTTGCTATGTAATTTTGCTGTTACGTTCAGTGGTAAACTGTTATTCAAGGTTGTGCTCTTTTATCAAGAACCTGTGGAAATAAATGTTCTGGGATTCTTTTGGTGTATTCTTTGTCTTTTAGGGAAGGGAGGAAGAGAGGAAGTCACACCATCAATATGGTTAGTCTGATTTTGAGCAGCATTTTTTTAACCTTCCTTCTCTATCAGACTTCGGCATTTATAACCACCACCACAACTATTAACATGTATTGAGGACGAACTGTGTGCCAACAACTCAGGCAGCCCTGTGAGGGGGGTAGGAGTAACCCCATTCTTGAATGAGGAAGCAAACTAAGTGGCTGAGGTGAGGCCGGCCCCGCTCCTCACCCGGCGTGCTGACCACAGCCATAGCTGCAGTCCACACCCAGCGCAGGGCCTCGTGGCTGAGCAAAGCTGAGTCTTACTTAGGTAGAAGGTCAAGACCAAAAGTCGGTTGTGATATTTTGCTTTATCAGGGGCAGGGCTTTTTCAGCCACTCCCTTATTATATCAAGAGGAAGGTTCAAGATGAATCAGAAGGCCCCTTTTGCCCCGTAAATTACTGACCATCATGGCACGAAGCATCATGTTAATACTGCAGCTCATAATTTGGCTTTCTGTTTCCTCCCCATCTGTCCCTGTCGCATGTGATTTCCAGTCTTTACCGGAGTGGGGAGCATGAAAACTCCCACTGAGCAACAGCACAATACCTGACTCTCCTCCTCTTGGGGCCGTGTTGCCTTGGCACAAAACTTAGCTTCGTGTTTTCACACCTTCTATCTGGCTGTGGATATCAGATATGTGTGTGGGATTTTTGTTGTTGTAGATTTTCCATGTACTCACAGGCCCTGAAAATTAGTTTATTAAAGTCATTTTTTCACTATGAATGAATTAGCATCTCATGAGTAGAGGCCAGAAATGCTGCTAAACATCTCGTAGTGCACAGGGCAGCCCCATGACAAAGAAGTACCTGGTCCAAAATGTCAGTAGTGCCAAGGTCAGAAACCTTGGCTGAGGATATGTAAGCAGGGCCTCCACAGGCATTTTTGCGCTGATGTAGATGAGACTCAAGAATAATGTTTGTACAAATGACATTTCTCAGGCTAGGAAAATAATTAACATTTAATAATTTTAATATTTAATAAAATAATAGTTGCTTTTTAAGTGAATGAGTATAAAATATGCAGTAATATAGGGTAGGCTATTATTCTTCCAAAACAAAGGAAGTCCATTATGGAAAAGAGTAAATGATGATTTATATGATTTTGCTGTCGGGCGATAAGTAACTGGGACCAGGAGTCCTAAGTTCCAAAATGAAGCTGCTATGATGTGAGCTCCTATGAGTCAGCGGCAGTCTACACCATTGCACCCAGTTAACCTCCCTGGGAGTGCATGGTGAGGAAGGGATGAAGTTTGAAATGGGCTCAGAGGGCTTTGGCTGTAGGGAATGAAAAGCAGAAAATGTGGTATGGTTGTATTTTCATTAAATGGTTATTAATAATCTTCAGAGATGAACTTTTCAAACTCTGACAATGATAAATTTTTTAAATCTTCCTTTAGAAAATGGGGTAAGAGGAGTGCTTTTCAACATCATTGTGTTAGGGAAATTGCCTTTTATTCTAAGTAACAGTTTCTTAGCTTGAAAATAACCTTTCCTTTCCCCGTTGAGTTGGCTTTGTTGCTGACATTGCATGCTGCCGTGAGGATGCTCCTACCCATATAGTAACAAGGAAGTCTGGAGAAGGCAGTGGCTTTGCCCCTGAGATTGTGGCAGTTACACCTGGGATCTTTGTTTAAAACAGTTACACTCAGGCTCTGAGTTTATTATGTATGAATGTTAGGGATTCCAGATGTGAGCTGGACATGTTCAGAAAACAAAGTTTATTCTTACAAGAAGCATCTGAAAATTAATTCCATTGTGGGCTTTAAATGCTCGATCAAGGAATGTAGAGAAGATTTATAAAGGATTTCTAATAGGTACATTATATTCTCATGTACTCAGTGGTAGGAGAATTTCACTTGCTTTTTTGGTTTCTACAATACTTCATCTCAGCAGAGTTCAAAATTTTAATCCTTAAACCACCACCCCCAGGTTGATATGCCTAAAATAGTATGTGGAATAAAACCAGTGCCCGTTAAAAGCTTCCTCCAGTGACAGTATGCTGGGCCACTGTTGGATATCAGTGTTTCCCGGGCTCTGGCTCATCATTGGACCCATCTTGATTACAAAAACTATATTTAACAACTCCTCTTTGTGAATGCCCATTTCTGCCTGATTTAATTCCACCTACTTAGAACAGCCCTGCAGGACAGGGATTATTACCCTCATTTCGCAGAGGAGAAAACTGAGGCTTATGTGACTTGCCCAGGGCCACAGGACTAATAAGTGGGTTCACAGTGCTTGAACCCAAGTTTGTCCAATTCCAAACCCACTTCCAGCAGCTGCACCATATAACCCCCAGGCCAACCTGAGACCAAGTACGGTCATTCATTCAACCAATATTTATTGAACATCTGTTGTGTGTCAGGCACTGTTAAAATAGTCACTGAGGACATAGCAAGGAGCAAAATAGACCAAGATCCCTTCCCTCATGGCATTTACATTCTGTGGAGGGAGACAGTTAATTCACGAGTACATAGCAAGTCATATGGTAATAAGTGGTAGAGAGAGAAAGCAAGGAAGAGAAAAAGAGAATGCTGTGTAGGGGCTGGAGGTTACAACTTCAACTAGGTTGGTTAGGGAAGGCCTTCCTGGAAAAATAACTTTTGACTAAAGACCCACGGGGGTGAGGGTGAGGGTGAGAATCCTGGCGTTATTGTGGAAGTGTGGCACACAGAGGAACCAGCACCAAGGGTGCAGATGGAAGCCTGCCTAGAGTGCCAGAGGACTAGCCAGGAGGCCAGTGTGGCTGGAGCAGAAAGTATAAGGTGGAGAATAACAGGAGATGAGGGGTGCGGGAGGGTACAGATGGTGTAAGACTCCCTGGCCCGTTAGTAAGGGTGCTGGCCTTCACTCTGAGATGAGAGCCCATCTGAAGGTTCTGATGGCGTGCTCTGACCTAACAATTTCAGAGGGTTCGCTGGTCTAGCTACTATGTGGTGAACGAACACGGAGGGCAGAGATTGGACACGGGAATATCAGTTAGGAGGCTACCGCCATAATCCAGGAGAAAAACGATGGGCTTAGACAGTCACAGTAAATGTGAGGAGAAGGGGTTGGACGAGATGTATTTGGAAAGAAGAGCCAGCAGACTTGCTGACGGGCCAAGATTTTTTACCTGAGCAACTGGAGTAATGAGTTTGCCATTTACTGAGGTAGAAAAGCCTACAGGAAGAAGTAGTTTGGGGAAATCAAAGATTTGTTTGGGGGCATGTTAAATTTGATTGGAGTTATTTTACAGATCCTTATTAACCATCCAAATGGGGCTCTTAATAGACAGCAGGATCTGAATTTGGAGATCAGAGAAGAGGTACAGACTGGAGATAGCAGTTGTAAAAGTCATCAGCTCAAATCCATGAGACTGCATTACAGTAACATGCAGTTTTGGTTTGAGTGGGGAGAGTCTGAGCCATGAAATGGAGCTGTGCCTATTTTTTATGGCGAGATCACCCCATGAAGCAGTCCTTATTATGATGCTCCATCATCTGTGAAAACATGGCCAGGAACACCCCCAGAATTACCCAGAAGAACTGCTCATCTTCAAGGAACTGGGTGTGACCAAGAGTCAATGTGCATATATGACTCCAGTGAATTTTCAAGATGCACAGTATAAAATCAAAGAAGAAACGGTGATCTGGGATTATGCAAGAGCCCGAGAATTCACGAGTGAGGAGTTTATTGAGAGATCATTGTAGGGACACACAGAAACATTTAGAATGAGCAATACAAGTATAAAGAGAGAGAAGGTGGTGTCCGTACCTTAGCAGACCTTTGTTGATTTACCTGGAAGACAGGAAAAAAACCGAAGAACGCCACGTCCAGTGTCTAGAAAAGGACCAGCTGGAAGGGTATTAACTCCCTCCCCATCTCTGCTGTGCCTGGGTCTGGAGGGAGTGGGATAGAAACACGTGGGGAGGTTTGGGCCGGGTGAACACCTGGCAGGGCTTCCCTGGGACCGATGACCTCCTAAGACACAGGACTTGCAGAGCCAAAGCCCGGGTGGTTCCCGGGCTAATGCAGATGGGCCCGCACCCTCGGTTCCGGCCAGAAAGACATCCTGAACTGAGTAGTTTGGCAGTGGAATAGAAGATAACTTACTTTAGTGTGATAGATGTAATTAAAATCTCTTGGTGATGATTTCCCACCCTGAGTTCTCACATGCTAAACCCTTTCATCTCTGGAGGCATTTCCGAATCCCTTCTGCCAAACAGCAACTTCTAACGGGACCAGTCCGTGAAGGCCCAGGGTTTTGGAGGCACAATATAAAAGGAGTGTATGTAACAAAGAGACATCCTTATGACTCAGGTCGTACTGCAGTCGCCTTTTGGGGCCAAAGGATCATCTCTGAAGACAGGGCCAGGTCCTGGAAGTCTCTGTTGAGCCCTCCGTGGGCCTATTGAGACGATGTGGAAGGAATCGAGGTGCCGGTGCCTCCCACTGCACGCTCGCCATTCGGAGCCGGGTGGGCCCCCGGCGTAACTGCTGCCGCTCTATTGGTGTGAGCCGTTGCCTCCGCCTGGAGTTCGCGTCTGTCCAACACACACACACACACAGCAGGTCTCAGCTTAGACATCCCTTCTGCTGCTCTTCCTCACCCTTGAACTTTGGGAGCCCGTCACCCCAGTCAGTTTAGGGCAGCACTTTATGTTTTGTTCGCCTTTATAAATCCCCACAGTATTACTCACTGCAGGGTATAGAGTGAAGGTACAAGAATCATTTGAATGACTAAGAAAATCCCTTTTTTCAGATACTCTGTTATTTATAATCACTTGCCCTAAAACAGCTTTTAGTTCTTGGGTGTCAAAGCCACAGGGAATTGTTAGTTATATAAGCTTATTCTGTAACTGAGCAAGAAACCAAGAGGCAGATATGGTATTAGGTGTAATTCCTGAACATGATGGCTTTGTAGAGCCCCAGAAAGTCAGTCTTGGGAGGGATCACCCAGTCTGACCATCTTGTCAAATCCTCTCATTTTACAGGGAAGTAAAGAAACCTCGGATGGATAAAGTGACTGAGGTCAGGGAGCCAGCCGTCTGTGGCCGAGCTAGGATTAAAACCTGTGTTTTGCTTTATATAAGAAACCCTCCCAATATCCTCCTTCATCTGCATTGGTCTATGGATTCTTTTTAAGCAATAATGGCAATTATCTGTTTCCTTCACCTCCCAGTTTCTGTCCTTAGACCCCAACACACTCCAGGGATGGGTTAGAAAAGATAACGATGTAGCAGTTACCAAAATAGCACAAGGCCCTCTCTGCAGTTTGCCAAAAGCCAGGGAGCCACTGAAAAGAACACAATCAGCCCTTGTGAGTGAATGTGTTCCCCCACTGTGGGTGGCAAGTCCCAACTCCTGATGAGCCCAACTCAGCACACAAGACAAAGGACAGCACAGCACACACATGAACTTTTGCCACTTTTGTATTTTATTGTGGAACTGAGTTTTTTTTTTTCTTTTACATCAAATATCCTCAATGGAAGAGGGGATATTGCACACAAATATCATAAAAGCACTACATATTACTTTCACTGAAAACTAATTTTCTACATTAGATATGACTGGATAGGATAGAAGTGATGCAGGATTATAAGACATAATACCATACACAGCTGCAGACTGACACAAACACCATTCAGAACAAGAGAGAGGAGTGGAGGTGCTTCTCAGCTGGGCTCAAGACCACTTCTTTCCAGGACCGGAAAGAGAAGGCTGCATGCAGCGCAGGTAAGCATGACTCAGGACGGCTGCACGGTGTTCTCGAAAGGGCAGCCCGGTCTTGATGCCTCATCTTGATGGCTCCTGTTTGGGGAGCTCCAAACGAGTGAAGAGAAGCTATTTATTTTTTTCCCTTCCTTTTCAGTTTTTGATGCTGCCTTTTAAATTAATAAAGTCATTTTTTTAATAGTCAATAGTTTTAATACCAGGTGAATAACCTAATTGCTTTCAAAGAAATGCTCATCCCTAGGCTGTTTTTGGTGTGTTGTTCAGTTGGTTAGAAGATAAAAGCTTACAGTTCCTTTCAAATGGAAACAAATCTTTTCTTCTAAATCTGAAGCACAAAAAAAAATGTTATTAATCTAACTCACAATATCATTACCGAGCAAGAACCTCCTGTGACAGGTGACTAAAGAGAGGCAAGAAAAGCAATTTCAGAATTGTAGAGCAGCTCCTGAGAGCTGAAATTTGGTAATAGAGAGAAAATGGAAGGTGGTAGAATTTTCATTAGCAAATGATTGAATCTTATTAAATGAGTATTGAAAAGCTCCTAAACTGCATAAGCTATTGGAGACACTTAAAACATTCATATACACTGGGGAAACCATTCACTAGGATATGTAAGGTTTAAAAAAAAAAAATTTTTTTTTTTTTTTTTGAACTCCATGGAAAATGGTGTTGGGGGGGGAAGGGGTCATTGTATCCAGTCCCACCACAAGACTGAGAAAGCATGCATGGGGGTTGGGTTTTGAGAAAGGGGATAGAATTCGTTAAAATTGAAAGTGGAGGATCATCTCTTAACATTTAGTCTCTGTAGAATTTTGCTTAAGAACACTACCAAAAGTTCGTGATCATGAGTGCCCTCTTGATGGAGTCTCGTCATTTAAACAGTGTAAATTCCTTTCACTCAAATATTCAATCTGTACAATTGGATTAAGTAATCAGTACGAATAAAGCTCCTAGAAGTCTGTGTCAATCTCTAGCCCTCACCATGAATGTACATGGTACATTGTGATGGCTGTTACTAAACTAATTGTGTACTTATGGAACTAGCAAAATTAGGTTAGTCACACAGGTAGGAGAGGTGTCTGGAAGGACAGGAGCGACCTGCAATGCAAATATTGACTTTCCTGGTATACTCAAGCTCTGCGGTCATCACTGAGAACAATGGATGGAAAAAGGTACCGTTACATTTCGTAGGAAAAAGAGCCAGCTGACCAGTGACAGCTTTTGTGTATTTTTCCCATTAAATCCCATAGCAAAAAAAAAAAGGAAAAAAAGGAGTAGGATAGAATGGTTATAATTGAAGATTGGCTATAATTCTCCAAAATGTATTTTTTTACAAAGCAAAATAATGCACACGTTAAATTTAATTTGGGGAAACTGGAAAATAATTCCATCTTCTATCAAAGAAAAATCAAGCAGAGGTCTGGATTTGGCAAGAAGGCTGGAAATCAGTTTCTCTTCCCATGTATTACGTGGACCTAACCAACTCAACTAACCAGTAAATAATTATCATGAGTTATCTTGGGTGGTCTCATAAAGTAAGTTTGAAGTAGGTAAGTTTATACTCAATAAAATCCATTTTTGTCACAATGAGTTTTCCATTTTGTGTGATTTTTTTGTACCCTTTATCAATGTGTCATTCTTAAGGACTCTAAAGAAATGGGGTAATAAATAAAAGCATTTCTAGAGAAGCCTAAAAAAAATAGAATATTAATTTTTTAAAAAATTAAAACATTTGAAAAATGTAATTCACAGCATTAAGTAGACTGCATAGGTCCTCCGTGGAGGGACCCTGAAGAAGCATTGTTTAAACCCTCATAGTAGTTAGTTAGCAGTGCAAAACATACACTTACCAGACAAAAATCAACTAAAATGTTAATTTTGAAATAAATAACTAACATAGAAAATAAAATGAGGTCATTGTTCACTACTCCGTAGATCTTAAAGAGTCTGCAGGAAACACAACGTGACAGAGCACAGCACAGTTGTCACTGAGAAGTTTGCCACATCTGAACACTGGGTGCATTGATCTGCAACTTGAAACTTGACGTCAGTTTTAATCATGATCTGGCTTCCAGGTTCATAGTTCAATGACGACAATGATGGAAATGATCTCTGAACTCCACATGATGAATCGTTGGAGACGGGAATTCATTTGCTCTCAATGAATTATTTCTTTTACCTTTTTTTCCAGAAAAGAAAATCCCAAAGCAAATTTTTGCTAGGGTTCTTTGAACTTGTCTTGGCTCTTTTACCTCATGGTTAAAGGTCTTCAAAGAAGGATGTAGAATACCACAGGGTGATACACTTGCAAAGGCCTGGGAAAGTAGCCTACCGTGCCATTCTGCCCCACTCTCAAATAACACATACTAAGGTTTGTATGTTAGGGGAATCAAGGGGTGGAAGGTATCACTATTCCTGGTAGTTACGGGTTTTAATAAATATTACTGCAACATCAGACTTCAATCTCACCAGAACTTCAAGAAACATTATTTTGTCTTATGAAAGACTTAAAAAAAAAAAGACTGTCACTTGAAATTTTCTTTGCATTTTCCTGTAAATGAAAACATTTGTTAAAAAGTTCACCTATGAAAAGTTCTCACATATCTAAAAACAAAAACAAAAACAAAAAAACTCTTCTGTACACTTGTTCCCATAATTATGCTGAAAGTAATGGAAAATTTAAAAAAAAAGGAAAAAAGCCAATGTAAGACAAAGGAAGGTAAATACTGTACACTTGTCGAGAACCTCTTCCACCATAAGATTCACTGTGCTCCCAGTTCTGATCATAGAAGCCATTTCGATCTTGGAACTTGCAGTAGTAGAGAAGCTATGATAGGCTCAACTTGTTCGGCTGAGGGGCCACAGGTGCACTGAGGTGGTATTCAACACACATGACTCAGCATCAAACCGCTGCACCCATCAGATCAGCTTCTAGGTCCCCCTCCCACACGCGCACACACTTGCTCCTTTAACTGGAGTATCTATAATCCTACACAGATGTTTTATAAACTTGCGGTCTCACATTAAAAAATAAGTGCATCAAGTATCTTTGTACATTCAAGTCTCTTTCTAAGGCAAATTGTCTACCGTGTGTACTCCCAACCGCTTTGGTATTTGCTTGTTAATTGGGGTGGACTTGGGTGTTTCCGCATGCAGGTGAAGTGACTCCGAGTGGACTAACTGGGTGGACAAATGCTGGGAGCATGCCTTAGATCAATCTACTCGTGTGTCTGAAGAGTCTGAGAGTTCGGAATGGGGTTCAAACCACTCGCTCATCCAGTCTGCGCTCACTACATCATGTCAGTGTGCAGCCTTCAAACTGAAGGAGCTTAATTAAGGCGTGAAAATCTCACATGCCCTCGTAACAAGTTTTGTTCTTTTTGTTTCCTTCCAGCTAACTTGTTTTAGAAAATGAAGACCCTTTTTGATGACTCAGACTGACACAAATTGAAAACTTGGCCTATGTAGACTACAGAATACAGACTGCCTGAGAAAATGCAGCCCTAAGTGCTGGTTATTCTCTCCTCCTTACCCCACCTTGCTCTGTCTCTTTCTCTCTGGGTATCTCACCAGCACTCTCTACCATTACCTCTCCTTCTCTTGCATTCTTTTCCTTTCTCCTTCTCTCTCTCCTGTGTTCTCTCTCATTGTGCGCGCGCACTCTCTCTCTCTTTCTCTCTCTCTCTCTCTCTCTCTCTAAGACAAATGCCTCTACCTAGCAGAAGTCAGTTGGGTTTGCTAGTGCATGGTTTCCAAATGTTCAGCAGAGATGAACTGGGATAGGTAATTTTGCAGTAACTTGAACCCTACTGTGGGAATACTGTTACTTCCCTTAGCAATCAGCAAAAACTAAGAAATATTAGTGACTTGCATCACCGTGACACAGTATAGCATTTGGCAGGTAACAGTTCAGTGACTTATTTAGACGCATTGACTTTTTAGAAAAGGTGGTTTCAAATTGAAGAATTTCTGGAAACAAAGTTCAAATCCTGTGGTGTGGCTGGCCTTGGTTTTTACAGTTCAATCTTGCATGCAGGGAAGGATTCGTCTTGCATAACCACTGTGCTGCTGCTTGCTAAAACCATGATGTTGAGGTCTTGTTGTTTCTCGTGGGTCTCTTGGTACCATTCCCTCATCACTTCCGAGTCATGAGTAGGGATCAGGGTTACCTGCATGGAGACAGAAAATAGTTGGTTAAGGGCAGAGCTAGAAATCGGATTTAAAAAATAGAGCAATAATAAGGTATGAATCAGACTATTAAAAGAAGAAGGGGAAAGAGAGGAAATTTTTCTGTTTTTTCTCAAGAGATACAAAGGACTTTCCAACTTAATACATTTTCCAGAAATCAAAATAGAGCTGTAAAAAATTAAGTTTTTCTGAAATAGTTAAAGACTGGAACCAAAAGCAGCTCATGACCAGTCAATTAGTTCATCTATATTCATCATCGAGTTTTCAAATACTCAGTGTTAAGAAGGGCTTCAGTTAAGGTGGGATTGCTTGTATTTCCTTTCACAGACCTGGGCAATTTTGCATGAAAGATACTGCATATTTAATCCAAGGAACTTTAGTTATCATTGCCACTCAATTGTGTGTAACTAATATTGTATCCTGAGAACAAAGATTTGTTATCTTTGTGTCTGTGGCTGGGATGGTAGAGTGGGTGGGTGGCTGGCTGGCTGGGTGGGTACTAGTTTGAATGGTAAAAATTCCATCTAATACTCATTAGGAGGCCACTGGGTGTTTCTCATGAGGTTTAAGATGATTACCTAGCAAATAATTGTATTTATTGTTATGCAAACACAGTTTACTAGGTGACTATGCAAAACCACAGGTAAACCTGAGATAAGCAAAGATCACCCCAAAATAAGAGAGGTGGTTCATAGCCAGTTACAATGTGATGTTTGTGAGCTGGGAGGGTCCTGTTGGGGACCATTTTCAGTAATGCTCCTCCCGTGGGATTTCACCTGGCCCGGTGATTTTCTAAATGGCCATATTCCTAGCTTTGGTCTATTTGTGAAACACAAAGGAGTAAAGACAATTTGAGTAGCTCTCATATGGAAATAGCATTTTGATCCTTGGTATATTAGAGGGAAGGTCAAGTAATCTTGGGCCCATTTTGTAGACAAGTGAATTATGCCTAGGATGGTAAAATGGCTTTCCTCCCAGACAGTGGTAGTGGGGGTACCAAGAATAATCTTCTAGACTATCTTCCGTGTGTGAAATCCACTTTGTCCTCAGGATATTTCATGTGGGAGAGACCCATGGGGCACCTCATGCGGATCCACAATCACAGTGGTGCCTCTTTAAACGATTCCTTCCCTCCGCCTCTGGACACAGCTCCATGTGCAGTGCAGACACTGTCCTGGGGCTCTTACCTGCATGTTGCTGCCCCACTGGGCTTTCCCTTCCAACAAGGCATCCAGGACAGCCCGGCTGGGCTCCTCAGCAGCAGGGTCATTCCCACTCACCACGTAGTAGGATGACCTCACTCTCTTGAAAAATTCGACATCAACATTCTTACTATTGCTGTGATTGGGAATATAGCACAGGTCCAAATACACAGGGGGGCCTGGAGGCACAGCTGAGGGCTTGGAAGGCTTGGTGTTTCCCGGTCCTTTGGTAAACAAACAGAAAAGCCAGGGTCACAGAAATGCGAAGAGACCCACTGGTCCGGTACTCCTTTCCTACTCATCCCCAAGAAGGTCCTGCAGGATATGCAAAGGGGACATTTGGGCATTTCTCTCTCTCTTGTAAAGGGTAACTGAAGAAAGCATAACATGGTTGTTTACCATCTCAACAGGAGAAGCAAAGAATGGGATGATTTTCCTTTGTGGACAGCCCCTTAGAAAGAAAGAAGAGTTCCAAGGCCTTCCCAAAGGATGGAACTAGAGAGTAATACTCCTCCTAAAAGAGCTGCTAATGTGCATCCTAATTTGAAAAGTGATCTAAGAAACCAATTTTGAAAGTCAAAAGGAAGCCTCTGCATTTGGCAAACACAGTTATAAGCAATGTTAGTAATTCATGTTAGGATCTCATGTGACAGCAACTCTGCTCACAGCTGAATATTATGCCCCAACATCTGACTTAGTAAATGGTTCAGATTTTAACCTCCTATGATCTCCAAGGCCCCCAGAACTCAGCCTTGTTCATAAACTGATGAAACACTATATTCGGTCCTAGCACAGTACTCTGAAAGTGAGACATCTCTCCCTCAGCAAGGCTGGCTACCAAACTTTGACAAGAAGGTTCAGAGAGACTAGGCTTCTCTAGCCAATCAAGACATACCAGACTGGGGAAAGGGGCATCTGGCTGCCAACACTGGGAGTCTAAATTAGAAAGCCCAGGCAAAGTCAAGATTCAGATTAACCCAAAACTTTCCTGGCACCGTGTCTGATGAGATGGCTTTCTGACTTGTTCTGGCTAGAAGGTTTAAATTTTCTGGAACATTAACAGAACTGGCATTCTAAGGCAGTGGTCCTTCAGCCTAGCTGTATAACTCGCATCACCTAAAAAGCCTAATACTGATGCCCAGACCCCACACCCCAGAGTCTGGCTTCACTGGGCTGGGACAGGGTTTGGGCACCACTGTCTTTTAAAAGCATCCCAAATAATGCTAATGTGCAGTTGGTTTGAGACCACTGCTATAAAGTCATTTAAAATACCAGCTGGAGGGCGCCTGGGTGGCTCAGTTGGTTAAGCGACTGCCTTCGGCTCAGGTCATGATCCTGGAGTCCCTGGATCGAGTCCCGCATCGGGTTCCTTGCTTGGCAGG